AATAGAGCATAAGCCAAAGCCTGCTACTAATTTTGTGTGTGTGTGTGTGTGTGTGCGTCATTGTGTGTTTGGTTTGAATCCCTATCAGGGTGATTTAAATTTTAAAGTGAGTTGGATGCATTAGAATCTGCCCTGCTGACAGCGGTTCATATGGGGGAAGGTTCTATTGTTTGGACATGACTGCGGCTGCTATTGCATTTGCTCTTTGGTCAACATAATAGTGATTGCAACAGAGTAACGTGGGAAGAGAAAAGCAAAACAATGTCTGTATTGTGTTGCACCACAGATTAACTCTGTAGAAATATTCCATTTTTCTTCTTCTTCCGAGGCCTGATAATGATGTTGGCCATGCAGGTGGTCAGCTTGTCCAACAAGTTGGTCCAAAGCAAGATATTTCAGTATGACTATGACATATTCGTGATCTCCAGAGGATCATCCCAAATTACTTTGCTAATGCCCTGACCTTTCATCTAGCCGGCCATCAGGCCCAAATTCCCACTTCTACATAAAAATATTAAAATCTTTCAGACATAAAATTTACTGATGCTCCCTAAAAGATGAACCACTGATTTTGGACAATAAGATTTGTAAAATGGGTTATTTCAGGCTCCTGTACTAAAAGTCTTGTTAATGTTTCCCACCAACAATGTTCTGTAAGTGATAGTGTAAGTGATTTTCACTATATCCTGACAGTAATAAATAAGATGCTCCAATCACACATGGTCAAAAAGCATCTGAAACCACCTCCTCCACACTTTTCCCAATAAGGGGTGAGGGCCAAAATGATGCCAGGTTTTCTACTATAGTGTGGGGTTGTTCTGTAAGTAAAAACACTTTTAACCTGGCCTTAAAGGCTCCAGATACAAAGTCTAGACATGTGAAGGAATAAAAGGAAGAACCTCAGGATCAGGCAGGTTGCATAGGCTGGTTTGCTGAAACTCCTTTGACCCTTTAGCTTCTATAGAAACAAAACAAAATATTTAAAACCCTGCTATCACCCCCTAGTTGCTCACACTGCTGGGCACCAGTGTGTTCAGTGAGATGGAACACCATAGGAGACTTGTAGATACTTTTCACACCAAACCATTTACATCCACTGCTAATGTCAGTGCCACTACAGGAAGTAATTTGCCCTTTATGTAATCAAGTGAAAGTAAGAAACAGGAATTTCCATCCCATCACAGACCTGTAAATGTTTGCTTTTGGAAACCTCAATCTTTCCCTAAACATAATTGAAGGTAATCCAGGGTTTTGCATAAATGTATTCCTCTCAATAATTTTAATAGGTTTGGGAGCCAAAGCAGAGTGACCAATATCATACAAGGCTCATTACTCATAAATGACTTTGTAACATGGATAAGTTTATTCTACAGTTTACCTAATGATTGATGAGACAGGATAAAGTGATCCTGCTGAGATCAGGTTTGAGGGTTGAAATCCTTCCTTATAGCATTATAAATGGAAAATGTTTTGGCATCTGATGAGGCTTCAAAACCATTAATCGATTAAAGCTGCAAGTAGCAATGATCAGGTCCACGCAGTCAGCACGTTTCTGGGCGTGCTGCGGTCATGTGTGCCAGCAAAGTCAATCAGATATATTCCCAAGGAGGGGTTTACATGTAAATTGCCATAGCGCCCCTACTGGCAAAAATCGCCCCAAATGACCACTAAATTCAAAATGGGCCCTAATGTGCTTGGGGTACGGCCAAGAGGCTTCTTTTTTGTATGTCTGGACATAATCTATGTGTATCTCAGGGGCTGCAATTAGGGGGGTGCTGGTGAGCCATTTTGACACAGCCATGTTTGAGGCCCATATGTACATTTCCACCACCGCTGTATTTTGTGCCGAGTTTCAGAGCATGTTGCAGCCGCCAAAAATGCTATTCAGTGGTCGGTGCTTGGACCCTAATTACTCAAACTGACATTCCTGGAGAGTATGCCCTCATCTTACTTTTCCACCCACTACATGCATTTTCGATTTGTGCAGAAAATTGGAAAGGCTTGAAGTACTGCAAACAAATTTGTGTGCTTGGCTGAAGTGGATAAAAAAGAAAAGTGATGCATGTGACTCAAGCTTCCAGCACAGGGACAAAAAATTGCTGCAGATGAAAACTGTAAGACCAGTATAGAAACGAAGAGAAAACTGCAACCTTCCTCAAATTAATACATGAAACAAAGACAAATACCATATTCTGATCATGTTTTCCACATGGTTTTCCACTGTTTAATTGACCAGTGAGTAGGATTTAGTGGCAAAAAACCCCCCACAATGATTCTTATTTTCAGATGATTATACACTAATGAAAACATATCTATGAATATTATATTCATTTTTTGCCAATAGATCCTCATAAATGTTACACACTGAGTGAAATGAGTTTCGGCAGACAAGCTTATGCAACCAGCCTGACCCTGAGCTTCATCTTCATATTGTATCTTTATTGTCTTTTCAGGTTTCAAAGATAAAGCACTCATAAATTTTATGGCTCCTCATGCTTGACCTCCACTAAACGTCTGCATGACACAAGGAATAAAACTTAGTTAATTTGTTCTAATGTCTTACCCCATAGTACAGATCTTGCCAGCACACCCGCTAAAGATAGGCTGATGGGGAAACTTTTCCATGGTGGAAGTTGGTCCTGAGATACATAAAGTCAGTGTATTTTAACAATGGAAATCAAAATAATGCTGCTGCTGGAAACAAAACAGAGCAGCAAGACTGAACCAAAACAGTGAATTTTTAGGCCAATAAACCATAGCAAGCTGAATAAGGGTAAAACAGAACTGCAGGGTTGGTGCTAATACTCTTTGGGTAATTGTTGGAAAATATTTGTCTAGTGTAGCTTTAACATGTTGTATCTGCTCTGTTTAAGCTGAACACAATGTAAAAATGAAAATCTGTGGTTTCAGGTGGAGTTAAGTACCGGACATCAGAACCACAGAAGTGCTGACAAAACATAACTCACCGCAGAATCACAAGTTGTATTTGTTAAATTTCTGTTTTCTGGTGATTTAAACAAACGAGATAATTGAGTTATCCTGTGGCGTGTCAATCTGGTAACCGCACATCTGCATTGATGATAAATAATCCTTTGCTATCACGACCCAATGCTGGTACATATTTACAACAGCAGATGGCCTAGTTGTCTCATTTAGATGTAACCTGAACCTTTTAAACTGTGAAGGCCAACACTTTTTTTTAGACTATAATTGATTATAATTATATAAAATGTCTACCATGTTAAGACATTAGCTTAAAATCCTGTGTGGACACCACTATTTAAACTCACCTGAGGATCCAATCTCCAAAACTATGATTCGCCAGGCAATGTCTTATTATTATTTTTTTTTTGCCAGTTATGTAAAATGAGGGCTATGATGTTGGATGGTACAGGCTGTGATAAATGAACAATGAACAAACAAATGCATATTCCACTGTTCTGTTTGCATAAAAAAGTAAACTAACCCTAACTTTTTAACTGCATATTGTGGTTCTTTATACTAGGGTTAGGTTAGTTTTGGTAAATTAGATTTAAAAAAAAAAAAAAAACAATATATCGCCATGCTTACACTATCGCAATATATAACAATATATTGAATCTTAACCCCTGTATCATAATAGGTATCGTATGACCAATCAGCCTTCGTTAAGTCTATTTTTGACTCTTGAGAGAGCCAGGATAGCTGTTTGACTGTGCCTCCAGTCTTTATGCTAAGCTAGGCTAAGCACATCCTTACTCCAGCTCTTTGACACACAGACATAACACTTATGTTTATATTCTCGTTGTACTCTGAAGCAAGTAAGCGCACTCCGCAAACGGTTTCTTTACAGGTTAAACTCACCTTCTAAATCTGCAGTGACGAGACACAACTGAAAGCCACCCCAGACAAACGGTTGGAGATTTACATTTCGACTTTTAATTTATTAAGACTTTGGTCATCCTATTGAAATACTGCAGAAACGTGGAGTGGCCAGGACATTGTGCTGAGCTATCTGTTCAATGAAAGCTAGTGCATTTTCTGCACGTTCTGGGTCGGTGTTGGACTCCACTAAGGTTATCACAGACTTTAGGTGCTGGAGGGGGTGGTGGCATCCGGTTTGACAGTCAGGGTTGCATCTCTGGCTTTTCCTGACTGTCTTCTTCTGCTGTGACCTCCCAGCATGCACTGGAGTGGTTTCTCTTGATGTAGCAATATTTATATAAAAATGAACATAATGACAGCTGTCCAAAAGTGAAGCCAAAACATCTCCATCTCCCCCTGGTGGCTGACTGCAGTATAGGTCATACAGCCCACTGCCTCTATGTTAGCAGATGGGCTAAACTGAAAAATGAATGTAGAAACATAATGAATGTAGATGCTTTCTCACAAGGACATGTCAAACACATTTTTCCCAAAGATAGTTTCTGTCATTCTAGGAAGTTCTTATTGATGTATGTTCAAGTGTTAATTTTCTGATAAATTCGATTCCAATTAGTTATTTGATGCTATAAAAAGGGGGTTTCACGTCATGATAGACAGCTGAGCCATGTTAGCGGCGTCTATATTGATGGTCTGAGGTGATTGTCTCCCCCAGGTTAGGAGTAGGTCCAGGTGAAGCAACTAAAGTATCTTAGCACCTTGTTCAAACATTGTTGGTTGGTTCAGATAGTATTGGGGTCCTATGTGTCTTCCTAACCGTGCATTAAGAGATCTATTTACCTATTAATTGCAACTTTTTTCCCTAAGTAACTGCATTATTAGGTTTTGAAATACGCTATTCCAATTCAATAGAAACAGATGGCAGTGTATCAGGAGGGTGGGAGGGACTGTTTGAGGCTGTGGGACGAAAAGATCTTTTTGTTGATGGGTTTAGATTTAAGGAAATATGTATCATTAATGTTTTTCTGTACTCACTGTCACTTTGACTTTGTTTAATGAAAACATTTTGCAAAAACACAAATATACAGTATGTACAATATACATGTTATAAAGCCCGGTGACAGTGCCACAGTGAGTGAACATATTGGCCAGTTTCTCAGGGGAGTGCTGGAACATTTATCATGTCTGTTAGTCAGAATTTATACTCCAACTTGTACTCTATTACGACTTATAATTGATTCAACCTGTAAATTCACATTACTTATGATTTTCCTATTTAAATTAAATTAAATTTGTATCTCTGTATCTTTTCCAGATTAGTGGATATATGTAAACAGTTCAGTTTATCTTGTTCTTGCATCAAAGCTTCATATTCTTCCTACTGTGTTAACTAAGCATATCTAAATTATAGCATACATTCGCTTTGGCATTACATGATCAGTTCTGTTGTTCTTAGTTTCCTGTGGAGCAGTCCCTGATAGACCACAGGCCGCACCCTGGAATGTGGGGGTATATTGGCCCTGCGCAAGGCCCATCCTGTCGTAAACTGCAGCTTCAGGATTGGGCTCATCACCAGTTGGCACAGGGGTCTTGTAAACAGGAAGGTTAGGGAAAGTCTGCTCAATTCTCCGTGGAGGGAATGAAATTCTGGTCACCACATTACAATGGTAGCTCTACAATGAATGGGAAAAAATCTGAATGAAAAAAAATATGGTTCACATTTAACAATAAGTTGTAAACATTATCCTGTGGGCTGGATCTGACCCACAGGGCTGGTAATTTGAGGCCGCTGCTGCAGGTTTCAAAACATGCTTTTATAAAAGTGTAGGTCACATCACAGACGCTACATCCAAGATCCTATGTCACACATTTTATTTTTTACAAACAAGTTAAATTCACAGGATAGCTCATCAACAAACTCTGCACAATGACCCAAAAAAGCTTGGAAACACTGAAACTAGAGGTTCACAAATTCACAATCCAATCCCCTTGTTGAAATAAACCAAGTAACTGAGTGACCAACTTCAGTGTATCTCATACAAGTGTTTCTGACAACAGAGTAGTTGTAGAGTTGCTTAGGGGCTTAGCTGTAGTCATGATGGATGTCTGGGTTTTTTTCTTTGCATCTGGTAAGTTCATTTTGCGCCTTTTGTCTATGGGGAACACTTTGGACACAAGATTAGGGGCAGTCCGGGTTTTGTTAATGGAAGGCGGTGTGATGTTTTGGAGTATCTGATTCTCCTTCGCTGAGGGGGTGTTGGCAGAAGTTGTCGCCTGGTTTGGCTTTCTGTATTTTGATGAATATTTGGGTGTCTTTTGTGACTTCCTCTTTTGACGACGGGATACTCTTGTGATTCCCACCACCTTCAGTTTAATTGGGGCTTCAGATATTCCTGCCATGTTCCGTGCCTGGCAGCGATATTCACCAGCATCCTTGTATGATAACCCGTTCAGGCTGATTATTGACCAGCGGACCCCCACTCGAGGAGATTCCTGCATAACTGGAACATAAAAAGGTGCACAATCATAGCTCTATAGTCACTCAAGTATAGCTGAGAGTTTTATACAGGAAAAAATATGTCTGGCTGAAGGCTTAGGGTTAGGGTTAGTAACACTAAACACTGAATCACACTAAAAAGGTTTCAATGTACTTTTCCCTATTTGGAATAGAAATTGTGAGTGAATTTAAATATCTAATATCTAATGTCATTTTGGATTTTCACCTTAAAGGTCCTAGGAGGATCTATTGGCAGAAATGAAATATAATATATATAGGTATGTTTTCATTCATGTATAATCACCTGAAAAAAATAATTGTTACCTTAGAATAGGCTGTTTTTTAAGAGGTAACGGGTTGGCTGGCTTCTGCTGTACCAGCCCTGACTGTTTTCTCAAAAATCCTGAATCTTTTAGGCTATTAAAATAATTAGTGTCATTTAACCAAAATCATGATCTTAACCTTACTTTTACCTTACTTAACCACAGACAACCTTTACCAAAGTGCTTTTGTTACCTGGACCTAACCACAGACAACCATAACCAAAGTGTTGAACCTAACCACAGACAACCATAACCAAAGTGCTGGACCTAACCACAGACAACCATAACCAAAGTGCTTTTGGTGCAGTCTGGATGGAAACCCTGGTCTGACGGTCTTGCAATTTGTACGTCTGCAATCCAACCCAAGCACCTCTATGTAACTCCACTGCATTACATAATCCAGGCAGGTATTACATTGTCACCATAACATAATTATAAAAACAGGTTTTAGGTAAGCTTTGCATCTTTTCTTGTTGATTGACAACCAAGTTAGTAGCTACAACCATAACGCTCAGTGGTAATTAAATCACTTAGACCATTTTCTGGTGGTGAAATGATCAGAATATCAGATTTGCACCACTTACAACTCTCCAAATTCGTAGGCAGCTGGTCAGAGTTCTCAAGGATGTCTTTTCGGCAACAATCTGTACAGAGAACCAAATCACAACATGACTCGAATGATGCTGAGACGTTAGCAACATCACTGCTGAGAGTGACCCTGGATTGCTTACCAGTGTAAGTTGAGGTTTTGATCCAGGTCAGGGTTGGGGTTGGGTAGCCAGTGGCATCACAGCGGAGGATTACGTTGCTGCCCAGCGTAGAGACAACTCTTGTGGCTGCAGGCTGGACTGAAGGCCTCATACAGCGGGACAGCTCAACCTGGGTCAGCAGCATCCCTGACTGACCCAGAGACCTGCTACATATAAGCAGCTGGTCCATGAGAACTACAGGACTCCCGAGGGACATGGACAAGGACATCACCATGGAGATCTGGCAGTCACACAACCAGGGGTTGTCATGGAGACCTAGGTATCCAGGATAATTTAGCTTATTTACATCATTCTCAGGTTTGTGTCATAAATTGGGAGGAAAAACCTTTTCTGAAGACAGTGAGGTGGCTGTAATGGCAGGTTTTTAAATTGTACACAATCATTTATTTCACTATTGTTCAGTAGTGCTTTTCTTTTAAAGATTTAAACAAATACATTTTCATAACTGAAACAGTAATTTCTTTTCATTATCCGTATGGGGCATCTAGCTGCAAATATCAGAGCCCAAAAAAAGGATGAAATTTGGTGGCCTGGCATGTTATTTATTTAATATTTTTTAAAAGGTCATTTAACCCAGTGGCTTTCAAACTGACCAACAGGGGTCCTCCAAAAAAGGAGGAATCGACTATTTTAACTTTGTTCTGTGTTTTTGGAAGTTGGAACAAGAAGGAAAGAAATAAGGTTGGTTGTTCTGATTGACTGTAATTTATAGTGATCACAGTTTGATCATAGATTGACATTAAAGACTAACCCTCTGATCTAACTGACTCCCAGGAGGAAGTATAATTCTCAGGTTTATCAGTGAAGTGTATGAACTACACTGCAGAGTGGACAGGTCGAAAGTGGTTTGAATGCACATCGGCAGATCCTCGTATATGCTTGTCTCCTGTATGAAATCGCTGCATCTTCACTGCTCTGCATTATTAGAAACTATGACTATCTCTCTCTCTGTTTCACAATCTTTTCCCTGACCTTAATCAAAGTGCTTTTGTTGCAGGAGTTTTGACGCAAACCCTGGATTGTGCTGTGACAGTCCTGCACTTTTTACATATGCCATCCACCCAAACTGAGTTGACAGAGTTGAGGTCAAAACTCCATTTGATAACATATATGCAGTATAAGTTGACAAACATTACAGTAAAACAACATATTTTAAAAGAAACATACTACTTATCTTAGCTTACATTAATAGGCAAACCAATAAATTTATAAGCAAATCTTTAACATAGATGTTCTTTTGGCGCTTTTTAAGTAAAGCTCTATTTGTCTGAAAGATATTGACACACTGGGTGTCTTCGTATCTTTGCGGATCTAAATGTGTAGTTGCTTTAGCTGGCAATAGAATATAATGTGTCACTATTGCTCCAAAACATACTGTACCCAAAATTATTCTTTGTACTGGTCCCCCCTGTTGTCCTAGGAGTGGAAACCAAAGGTCCAGCAGCTCAGCAGGTAATATAGTCAGCCTGGGGACAGAGGAGAAAACATATCTATTTCAGGCTGACAGCTACATACATCACTAGGCTACATGGCTCTGTGGCATCTAGTCACCTGTTGCTGGACAGGTCAAGGTAGGTGATGTTGGGGAGAAAGAGAGAAGCGTGGGCAGGAAGGCTGGACAGACGGTTGTTGTGGAGACCCAGAGTCTGGAGGCGCGGCATGTCCCTAAGCCCCTCCCAGGGGAAGGATGTCAAGAGGTTTCCATCTAGACGCAACTCTCGCAGGGCCTTCAGGTTGACAAAGCTGCTGGGGTGGATGGAAGTGATGGAATTGTAAGTCAGCCACAGGAACCGCAGCTCCGACAGGTTGTAGAAGGCTGCACGGGGCACCCTGGAGATCAAGGTCTTCTCTAGACGCAGTTTGACCGTGTCAGCTGGTACATTAATGGGAACTGCTGAGATTCCAGGGTCACTGCACTGCACCGACCTGCCATGTTAAACACAAACCAGTAAGGGCTGAGGTTTGGGTAGAGAAACAATGCAGTCATTCACTCTGATAACTTTTTTAGTTTCAAGATGACGCAAGATGATGCAAATACCATCAGTAAATACTCAAAGCACCATTCTTTTATATAGAGTGTGCAGTAGTAACGGCTATGTAGTAAAAGTTCCAGCTGTTGCTCTTGGGGTTAGACCTTAATATTTAGGGGGTACTGCTGGCATATGAGAGCAGTGTTTAAATGATAGCTATCAAAATGAGAATTATAAACAGTAAAGCAGGAAACGGTATCAAAAAGTTACACTTAAAAGCCTTTTTATAATTAATCTTGTGATTTTATGTATGTTAAAAACAGAATAAGGAAATAGAAGCATTAACTTTTTTTCAAGTTCCATGAATCCTTTCAATTATGTATTTAATTGGTTGATTAATTAACAGATTGAAAATTAAAATATTAATTATTCCAGCCTTCCTAGCCTCCATACTTTTACACCACATTACTGCGACCAATTGCTGTACAGCACCAATAGTGGTAAAACTCCACATAGCTACTTTAACTACTCTTAAAAACAAACAAAAATACTAATTATTTATTTGAGATGCCTTTACCGTATATGTTAAATGTGAAAAATATCTAAAAAGCATTAAATTGATTTTAATGCATTATCAAATTATTACAATGAAATTTAGAATTATTTTCATGTTAAATGATGAAAGAATTAATTACATTTACATTTATGTCATAATAAAAATATTTCTTCAGAGGCATTTACAATTAACCTTTTATTATTCTATTTAATGTTTAATTACTCATTTTAAAGTCACAACAGGCTATATACTATATGTTTTTTCTTATGAACTTATAAAAGGTATTATATTTACTGTACAATATTTTTTGTGGCTCCCTCCAGCCTCTGGTGATTGTCTGCAGCATTTAAATGTTAAGTCATTAATGGAATCATCCAAAATCAACAGTATAAGATGCAACATTGTCCACTGTTCAACTTATGTGTCTTTGTCGGAATTATCATTTTTTGCTAGCCTGCATACATTTGGTTGCAACAAGACTGCTGAAATCATCTCATGCATGTTATGCACTATTATCTGAACACTGTTCAGATAATATGCATGGGAAGACCATATGATTGCACTTTTATTTTGCAATCCGGGATAATATTCAGGGACAAAATGTTTAGTTATAACCAAATTTGTCAAAAATGACACCATCAAATATAACATTTGTTGCATTAGCACAGGGGTCGGCAACCTTCAACACTCAAAGAGCCATTTGGACCCGTTTCCCACAGAAAAGAAAACACTGGGAGCCACAAAACCCCTTTGACATCTAAAATGAAGATAACACTGCATTTATGAAATGAAAGAACTG